GTGTTGGTTGCTGCTGATAATAGGTCCTTGATTCGTTTCCCACATCTGTGATGTCCTTATTTCCCTTAACAAAGTGGAGAAGAGGTTGGGCAAGCTAAGAAGGGATTTCTTTGGCAGGGCAATATATAATAAAACTTCCCATTTTGTTAAATGGAATTCACTTACACTTAATTAGAAGTAAGGGGTTTTGGAATCGAAATTAAGACAACATAACTGCAGTTTAATGATGAAATGATTGTGGAGATTCACTTCAGAAGAACATGCACTATGGAAGGAAGTAATCAGTGTAAAGTGTTATATTTCTGGAAAAGAATCTGAGAATGTCAATCCTCTATTTTGCACTGTCATGTTACTGATCAATTGTGGCAGCTGTTCCTTAACATGGTGGGGCTTAAATGGACTATGCCTAGAGCTACTGTGAACTTTTAAAGTGATGGAACGTTAAAGGAAGAAGTAGAAAGCAGAAGAAGTGGTGGTATACTATTTTTGCACGTATATGGTGAACTATTTGGAGAGAAAGAAATGACAGATGCTTTGAAGACAAAGGGAAAATCTACTCAGAAGCACTTTTGGTGTAAACAACAACAACATGCCAGTATTATCCCACACTGTGGGGTCTGGGGAGGGTAGTGTGTACGCAGACCTTACCTCTACCTTGTGAGGATAGAGAGACTGTTTCCAATAGACCCCCGGCTCAGGAAAGCATAAGCACCACAATAATGAAAATATAGACAAGAAGGGATAGTACCAAAAAGCCATATAAAAGCAGAATAAAAACAACAAGACAGTAAGGTGATAACAATGAAAGAAAACAACGGTTAGTCATACAAACCTACTACCAACAGGAAGCGAAACTGTGCGTCAATACTATTGTTATGAACCTTCTAGACTACCTACTCTACTACCCTAATCCTCGACCTCCATACCTTCCTATCAAGGGTCATGTCCTCGGTCAACTGAAGCTACACCATGTCTTGCTTAATCACCTCTCCCCACCTCTTCTTAGACCTACCTCTACCTCTTAGTAAATGAACTCTGTAAATGAAGCTGAAGCAAATGATAGAGCTTGTAGAATCCCTTTAAGAATAGGAAGGGATTCACCTTAGAATTCTCTGTAAATACACATTTGAACAGTACCTTCTAGGTGCTTGTTTTTTTTTTGTTTTTTTTTTAATTTTTTTTAAAAAGTAATGATAATAGCACCCAGAGAGTGCAATGAGTAAGTACTATAACCCCAACAAAATGCATCTTGGTACACTATCAGACTATCTACATGTGAAAAGGACCGAGGAAATTAACCATCCTATCTACTTGTACATTTTCCTTTTTACACCAAAAAGCTAAGGGAGCTAAACATATATGTTTTAAGTTACAAATATTGTCCTTTTTGCCGTCAAAGTGTGTTGGATTTGTGTATAAACTGTCAATATCAGCGTTCAAGGGGCAATCTCAATGCGGTACTTCTATTTTTGTTTCCTTCGAATCACATTCTATTCAATGCTCAATTGCATTTTCACGGCTAAGTTTGGTACTTCTATATTGTGGTATCATATTGTGATCATTTGGGAAATCTTATCATTTGTGCTAATTGAGGTAGCTATCTTCTTGCTGTTCTGTTAAGCTGATCTATGATCAACATCTACAATGATTTGGTAAGTAATAACATATACCAAGCTCATCTTATTATTGTTTTATTATATTTGTAGAGTTTGAATCCACCGGTGCTAGTATTCGTTCAAAACAAGGAGCGCGCAAAGGAGCTATATGACGAACTAAAATTGGAAGATTTTCGAGCTGATGTTATCCATTCAGATCTTTCTCAGACACAGGTAATTCTGGCATGTCTTCTGCATTTTCTACATCAACGGGTGGTTCATCACGGAGAGGGGGATGTCTGTTTTAGTCTAAAATCAGAACACACTTTAAGAGGAAGATAATCTTGAGACTGCCTGTAATTATTATGTTCATTTCAACTAAGCATTTATCAGTCTATTCGTTCTTTGACCGCTGGATTATGGATGGCCAGGATCACAAGAGTGTTATTTTGGTTGCTTTTATTGGTTCCTTGTTTGAAATCAAGGTTGAAAACTGGAGCTTAGAGTCTGATGTTGACTTGACCACCTAAAGAAGAGAGCTGATTTCATCAGGAAAGATGGAGATACCTGCTCTGCAATTTTACCTACGTAGGAGGAACTTCTAGTTATTTATGGATTCATTGCTCCAAATAAATGAGCCACCTTAGACCTTTGATTTAAATATGGGAATTAAGTTCTTTATATATTTCTGGGGTTGGTTTTAACTGCAGGACCTTTTTTTGGTATTATTTATTTGATGAAGTTTGATAGAAAAATTTAAGTGGATTTTTAAGTGCAGGGTCATGGTTTATATTTGCTTGATTAATTTTGTGTGCTGCTGTATTGGACACTAATTCTGGTTCCTACTCACTTCAATTATATGCAGAGAGAAAATGCTGTTGATAACTTTAGAGCTGGAAAAACATGGGTTCTAATTGCCACGGATGTGGTGTCCCGGGGAATGGATTTCAAAGGGGTCAACTGCGTATTAAATTATGATTTTCCAGACGCTGCTGCAGCATACATTCACAGAATTGGTAAAGATCCAATCTACGTTTCACTTTTACCACTTTATATAGTGATTAATAAATTCATGACTTCCGCAAAACATTTTGCGTGGGCTCACTGGTATGTTGATCATCAATCGTCATAGTCCTACGATGAATTACAACAGTTTCCACTGTTCACTGAAAACTACACTGTGTTTCTTGTAAATAGGACGTACCGGAAGAGCAGGAAGGAGAGGAGAGGCTATTACATTTTATACTGAAGCAGATATTCCTTTTTTGAGGAACATAGCAAATGTTATTACTTCTTCTGGTGGTGAGGTTCCCGAGTGGATCATGTCAATGACCAAGAAAAAGTGGAAGAAACACAGGCCACAAAGAGAAACCATTTCAACTCAGCCAGATATATGAAGCAACCTCCCAGTTTTGACACCATTATATCAAAGCTCCTAATTTTTTTATATAATTTTGATGTATGATTCTTTGTAATTTATGTTATGTATGAATTTGGATTGGTGTTTCTTGTTACATCTTCACTTAAATGGTAAAGAAATGAATGTTGTCTTTTTTTATTGGTTATTGGCTGGTTGAGCTGAGTTTTTTGGTCGACGAAAAAACTCTTTTAGTCCTTGGTCCTCATTAAGTAATGGAGTTCCTTCAAGTTAGTGTGTGGAGTTTTTCAGTTTCGCTCGCAAATGATTTTTTAAAGTTGGTGTTTGAGTTTTTTCCAGCAAGACTTGTAAAAAGAATTCTCCAGGTTGAAAAATTCGAAATAGTGGTTTGAAGGTGTATTTCAGTGAAGTTTTATAAATCTTCAACTTCACTCATAAGTCATATATCTTCTATCTACAGAATTCTGGTTTTCCAAAAAATTCAATTATGTAATTTTAACTTTCACAAACTATATTTTCCAACTTCAAATTCAAATAATTTCTTTTCCATTCGAACTACAAATGTTGTACAAACAGCTCGGTGAGTTGTCTTTCATCTCTTGGAAACCATTCTATGCAACATGAAGAAATGAGCATATCTTGTGAGGTAGCAAAAATTTAACCACTCCCAATGCTTATATCAAACCAGATTAAATTACCATGATTAAAGTTATAAATTAAGGCAAGAATATGTATTAATTAGCTATGGTTTAGTAATACATATGTCATGTATTCATTGGGCTAATATAAACACAAGGTGCAAGTAGTTAGGGTAAGGACTAATAGAAGGTTATAATTGAAGAACACGATACGCTTTGCTCGAAGTTGAACGTTAAATCCATTAGAACATCGAATTAAAATATGTTCACTATCCTAAGTGAAAAAAGAAATATGTTCACCAACAACAGACATAACTTGTATTTACTTATGTCAGGATTAGTCAACCATAAGTTTTCTTGCCCAAATAATTATGATTAGAATACGTAAAATTTTGTTAATCTTGAATATAAATTTTAATACTTGATTGATTAGTACTATAAACAAAAACAATTGATAGTTTCAAAGGAAAAAAAGAAAATAAACTAAAAGGAATAGTATTGTAATTATACGCAACTTAAGGGAGGCTATCATAAATATGCAAACCATCCAATTCACTGGATCAAAACATTAAACCCCAGTATTGCCACCCCAAAACCCTTCTGCTTCTTCCCGTAAAATCATTTCCATCTTCAAAGATTCACACAAAACCTAATCACTATATGAAAAATTCAAAATTTCTCTAAAACCCAATTTCAACCATGAATTTCTTAACAAAAACAATAGCAAATAGAGCTTTATCCTCCTCTTCATATCCCCAAAAATACCAACTTTTTCTATCTTTTTCAAGATTTGCCTCTAAAACAACAACCCCAAGAAAATCCAAAATCCCAAAACCCCAAGAACCCTCTTCATCTTACTCACTTACCCCTCCAAAAATTGAAACTAATGAAGCTGAAAATGTATCTTCTTGGCCAAAGCCTAGTGAAATCCCTTACCAATCAAAAGTTGCTAATTTAGTCAATCTTGTTGGTTTTGTGCAAACCCCAATTCAATTTGAAACTTCCCCTGATGGGAATTACTGTGCTGGTACTGTTCTTGCTCATGAGAATAATGATAATAATAATAACTCTATTTTGATGATTCCTGTTGTGTTTGTTGGTGATTTAGCTCATGTTGTGGCTTGTCATGTGAAGGAAAATGATTGTGTTTATGTATCTGGGAAATTTTCTATGGATCCATTGCCTTGTGAAATAATGGATAAATATGAGTTCTCTTTTCATATTGTTGCTGAAAATGTTAACTTTGTTCAAGGTCTGAAACAAATAGCTCCCCGAAAGGAGAGGGGACAGTTTGTTTATCCGAAAAGTAGTACTAAGCAGCAGCATTCTGATAATGAGAAAGATATTTGCTTGTCTACTTTGGAAAATGATGATTCTGTTGTTAATTCGGGTGGGAGCAAGTCAGAGGGAGGTGATGAATGGAGGGACCTTATCAAGAATCCGAAACAATGGTGGGATTGTCGGAAGGCGAAGTTAGATGGGATTGTAAAAGCAAGGCACCCTGATTTCAAGAAGAAGGATAATAGTAGTATTGCATTGTGGCTTGAGAATGCGCCGAGGTGGGTACTTGAGGGAGTTGAAGGACTTGAATTTGATGTATATGTTCCGAAATCTAAAGGAGTAGGAAAGGAGGTGGATTCTTGGAAAGATTTGTTGGAAAATCCTGATAAATGGTGGGATAATAGAGCTACTAAGTCGAATCAGAAAGCACCTGATTTTAAGCACAAGAATACTGGTATAGGGCTTTGGGTCGATAACTCACCAGATTGGGTGTTGTCTCAGTTGCCACCGTCGAGAGATCAACGTGCTAGTTACAAGATGAACCAGAGCTAAAACGTGTCACGCAGCAACTCCACTTTAGGTAAAGTTTCCATGAATCTTGATGCTATAACAGTAGACCTTGTGCAGTGTAGTCAAATCCTGGCCACCTAAAGTTTGAGCAGTGTTGAGGTGGAGGGAAGCACATTATCGTTATGCTTGTGAAGTACTTATTTTCTCCTATAATGGTACATCTTATAGCACTTTCTTATGATAGTTTTGTTATCCTATGCATCTTTTATTTATGATTTTGATGAATATGAAGATCTTGATTATAGCATTTTCGGAATAGCAGTGCTGTTTGTTGATTCTTCATACTTAGCCATCGCAACTGTTCTTTATGATTTTGGTGAATATGAAGATCTTGATTATAGTAGTTTGAGAATAGCAGTGCGGTGTGTTGATTCCTCGTACTTAGGCTCTGATGCCATGCCAAATTTCTGCATGCAATTTTTTTTCGAATTCTGTGGGTTAATTAGATTTATTACATGCTTTATCAAGAAACATTATTGCAATGAGATGTTTGGTAAAACAATGACATTTGTTTTTGAATGTCAATCTAACCTCATTATTATGAAACTTTCATCAGTTGTCTTGATTGATTTGGAGTTGCTACAAGTTAGAGAAAACTAGTAGAGTAGTAATAATCTATGCAGCCAAGCACATTGTCACAATAATTGACAGGGTTGATAGAAGGGTATTAAGGTTGAAAATTAGGGTGGACGGTTAGTAGGTAGCCGCGCGTTCCCCATTTTCTTTCTCAGATCGATAGCAGTAGTATTAGAATGGTATCTCTTTATTATTGCTGGTACTATCTATTGTTTGATTGCATTCTTTCGCTTTAGTTATACCTTGTTGTTGTGACCACTTGTTGCCACTAATTCTTTTCATGTGTGTTTAGTCGAGGGGTTAGACTCTCTTCCCTCCCAGGGTAGGGGTAAGGTCTGCATACACACTATCCTCCCCAGACCCCACTTATGGGAACTCATTGGGTTTGTTGTTGTTGTTAGTATTCAACTTCCCACTAGCTGATTTTTCATGTACAGAATATCACTAGCTGATTTTTCAAGATGATAAGACAATTTCTCGACTTGGGAACCAAAGCTCAACAAAAGGGATGATCATTAAAGGAAATCTTTTTCTTTCATTTCAGCCTTTTTGAGGAAGTAATTTGAGTTCCTGAAAAAACACATGATTAGCGACGTAAAAGGATTCATTTGGTGATTGCCTCTCTACCTTCATAAAATAGGGATGAGGTCTGCGTACACATTCGCTTCCCCAGACCCCACTTGTGGTATTCACTAGGGTGGTGGTTGTTGTTGTTGTAAGCAAGCTGTGTTGATTGAATGACATTGGAGTATAGACTTTAGACGTGTCTGAATATATTTTGAAATTATTGTTGTTTATTTAGGATTTTATTGGAAGATGGTAGACCTTTTCATAATGGCTCTATTGGCTATATGTATGTTAAGTCTGGTCGCTCAAATTATTCTACCTTTTGATTATGATATGGTAATCCGAATATGCGACTTTTCGGAGAATGCTTTGTTACTCAGAAGCAATTTAGAAGTTAACTGGACCTACAACTTCAAAATTGAAGCCCTACTCTTCTGCTAAAGAATATGAGATTTTTGGACCAAAACAATAGCATTTCAAGAATAAAGTACCATTTTAATCCTTTTAAGAAAGTTGTGGGCTCTGCCTATTACATGCTCCAGATCACAGAAAAAGAGCTGAGGAAAAGAGAGGAGATTGTTTGTAACACCAAGTAACCATTGCTTGAGAAGCTTAGGCGAAAAAGATCTAACTTTGTATAACAACCACCTAGTAGGATCCCACAAGTGGGATTTAGGGAGGGTAGAGTGTACGCAGACCTTACCCCTACCCCGAAGGATAGAGTAACTTTGTATGAATGTTGTAAAATATATGTGCTTGAGCAGTTGTCAGGGTCAGATTATTGGGTATTTCAGTTTCCATTAACCATTACTACATTGGAGTAAGCTACAACATAAATATTGTCTCCTAAGTTTCTCCAAAGGAACAACCTTGGGAACCAAGTTTCGACTTCCCGGGGGGCAACGCTAGATGAATTCTTCTCATCTGCACCTAAGCTCTGGTGCGAGAGAGCTACTTAGTATCAGGGGCGAAGCTAGGTGGGCGAAAGAGTGTTCAGTTGAACCCCCTTCACTCGAAATTATATTGTGTATATAAGGTCAATTTTTTTTCCTGTACATATATTATATGTTGAATCCCTTAATTTCTTCGTGTATTTATTTTTGATTTATTTTTCAAATTCTCTCAGTGAAAATTCTGCTTCCGGCAATGCTCAATACTTGTATTGGTGGAAGATAATAGGTATCCGTCGGATTAGTAGCGCACACTAGTCTCTGAAACACCTACTTTGCCGCCATAGAAGTTCTATATTTTACGAGAATCAATGTTGATATACTTTAACAAGAACTTTCTGTTAAATTCTTTATCAAATGTTTCGTCTTTGTTTTACTTCTATCCTATGGATTTCAAACAGAAGTTGGGTATACACGACACACATAAGATTAAAAAAAATTAATCTGTTAATGATGATTGGTCTTAAATGGATTATCTTTTTACTTCTTTTTGGCTTCAAAAGAAACACTGCTACATTAAAATTTATTTCAATCATTCGGAACTGTAAACAAATCAAACGAAGATCCAAATTAATGCCTACCCAAGTTTGAGCCTAATAAGTAAGATTTAATCTTTCAAGAGGATTGATATTTGCCACCTTATTTGCTTATATTCCATACAGAAATTTGAGCCCAATCCTTAACTAGTTTTCTTTTTTCAGGTTTCAAACTCAAAATAGGATTTTATTCGATTCTATATTATAGATTGAACATCAGTTTGACTTCATGAACTAAACTTACCTACTGCTTTAAGTGAGTAATAATTGATAGTTTCCTTCAAAAATATATAGTATAGGTGAGTTAAACATAACATTCTGTGTTCACGCATGGTTTGGGGAAGGGTCGTACCCCAGGGTGTGATGTAGATAGCTTGGGGTGGCAATTTGAGCCCAATCCCATCCAACCCGCCCAGAGATTAATGGGTTGGGGTACAAATATTTTAGCTCATGGGTCTATTTGGGCTGAGCCCAAGTTAACCCATTATTTGTTATAGCTCATTCTGGCCCATTAAGCAGCCAAATACAACCCATGAAACTCACCCAAAACAAAGAGATCTCAACCCAACTTATCTAAAATTTACTTAATTGCCCCAATTTTACTTTTTTTTTTTTTTTTTTTTTTTT